AGCTGAGTCAAAACAACTCTTTTAGGACCTGTCCCAACAAACAAACCCCCCTTATTTTAAGGGTCAAGGTGAGGCCAAGCAGCTTTTACAGAACCCAGAACACCTTGGCAGCTCTGCCATAGCATTTGTGCTCTAAGTGCTGCCTGGTTCCCCCCGCGCCTGTGCCAGCAGGATGCGGCCAAGGGGTGATGCCGAGGGGACCCACACTCCTCCTGGGCTCTGCCGAGCTCGGGGGAGCGATGACCACCTGGTGAGTTTGACTCAAATGCACAGCGCTGGCAGAGGGAAGCCCAGAGGAGGAAGAAGATCCTTTCGATTCCTGTTAATGAACCGTGCTGGTTTTGTACAATCTTCCGTCCTGTCAATCTCCCTGCGATACTCCAGGCTAACACAGGGTGGGCAGCGTCCACATGCTGAATGAACCCAGAGACGTTCAGGTGGTTGGTGGTGCCGGCACTTCTGTGGGACCGTGTACCAAGTAAGGCAACACTTAGGCCGTTTGAGAGGGACAAAAAGCGATTTTCGGGGCTTCTTTCTCCCCAGGAACAACGGTGAGTGGGGGTGGGAGCTATTACTAATTTATTACGTTCCTTTGGGGAGAAATTCACTGAAACAAGCCCAGGGACAAGCTCTCCATAAGCCTTGCTGGTTCCTTTTCCTTGGAAAATTCTGCTTCTCCCTGGATTAAAGATGGGTGGGAGACGATTGGCCCCTGTTTTCTGAAGTCTGGAGAGCTTAAATGAGAGCACGTTGATCTATACTTAATGTGATTAAGTTACATCTCTGAGTATCATGGTAATTAAATTAAACTTCCCACTGCTGCCTCTGCGGCTTAAGCAGGATAGTTGTTTTAAGACCACAATTTACTTTTCTGCATTTCATTGCATGGATGAGCAGGTAGGATAAAAGCAATCTGCTAATCAAGTAATCGTACTGTTTAGAAACAACTTCTAACGACGGAAATTCAAATTTAAATCTGATTTGAGCTAGATTTAAACTCTACATTTTAAATCTAAAGTGATTTGTGCTTTGAGTAAAGAAAACAACAGGAAAAAGCAAAACTAAACTGATGAAGGGAGCCCACAGACTACGTCTGACCGTGATGTTGCAGGAATTCAGACAACGTGATGGCTGATGCGCAGGGGACCAGCCAGCTTTCGGAGCGTGAGCTGCAGTAAATAAAAGGCAGAGACCCCCGTCGTAGCCGCCTGCCGGCTGCCCCTTCCTCATCACGGGCCAAAGCGAACGCTCGGATCCAGCACCCCTGACTTCAGCTGTGTATTATTTCAAATGCTATGTAGTCTCCATAGCCTCCTCTCTGAAATGCTTCTAATTGAGTGTCAGATGATGGATAAAAATATTTGGCTACAATTGGCAAAATAACAACATTTTACCCAGAAAACCCCCTGTCTGGTGTGTCGCTGATGAGCACCCTGAGCCCCAGGCAGTACAGCTGATGGGCCAGGCTGGAGCAACACACACAGCCCCTTACACAGGGGCTGGACAACTGTGACCAGAATAAGCAAAATTCTGGGGAAAACTCATCTCTCCGGCAGGTCGCAGAGCCAGGATCCAGCTGGGAGCTCGGCATTCGCAGGGCCCCAAAACACTGGGGCTGACTCTGGGGAGCACAGCTCCTCGCAGTGAAAACCAGCTCCCGAAGACACCCCTCCCTCTGCCCTCCTCCCGTCTCCAGCAGCCCTGAGAACCTGCAATGGTTTTTCCAGCTGGCAGCTTCTAAAAAAAAATTAAGATTTCAAAGCTCTCTCCTCATTGACTTGACAGCGGCAGCCTTGACCTGATGCTGGAGAAGAGGCAACCGCATTAGCAGGTCGGTGCCGAGAGGCAGCAGGCAGCGGCACGGGTGGGCGATCGGGCGCCCGAGGAGAAGGTGGGAGCTGGGGGAGCGGGACAGGAGCACTGGGTGCATTCGCAGCTCATTCACCAGCGAGGACCCGGGGGGATCTGTCAGGGATGGAGGCTGCTGGAACGGCAGCATTGGCATCGAACCGACGGCGCGGCACATCGGCTCGGCTGGAGCGGAGCAGCACCGGCGTGCTGGGAAACTGATACCGGCCGGTGCCTTGGCATAGGGAGCTTATAAACAGCAACATGCGGCCTGCACATCCCTGTGTTGCAAAACCACCGTGCAGCTCTGGCTTGGACCTGTTGTGGGAATAGCTACAGCCGTGCCTGGCTAGTGCTGTTCCTGCATGCTCAGCTCTGCCCAAGGTGCAAGTACAAAGCCCACCTCGGGCCTCTCATTATGTATAATTTAAAAGATCAATGCGGAGAAAGCAAGAGGCTCTTCAGGAGAGCAAGTAGCTTAGTTTTAAAAAGATGCCAGTGTTTGAACAGCTGCTGCTTCACACTCGGGAAGGGGCCTCAGGCCAGCGCCCTGCGCTGAGGGATGCTGCGGGGGGACTTGCTCCCCACAGACCACCGCAGACCACCTCTCACACCCCGCTGCCAGCGCGGCCAGCTCCTCCCGTTGGGGCTGGGGGTGACTCTGAGCCCATCTGCTGAGGCTTCCTGAGCAGTGAGCAGGACCCGGGTGCAGGAGGGTCTCCACACGTGGCACACCGAGCCATTGCATGTAAACTACCCGGAGAAAAGAAGGGTCAGCTACAGCGAGAGAGCTATTATTTTTCTACAGTTGCTATGGCACCAGCTATCTCTGTTCTGTCATTTATGCCCTTAGAATGGTCCTCAGTCAGGGGGGATTAAACCTTGCTTCCCCCAGCACGCTCCTCAGACAGATCACGCCAGCAGCGGGGATTTCTCACCTTCATCCCCAAGCAAGGGAAGACTCAGAGCCCTCGGTGGCTGCAGCCCCTCTGCCAGCCCCCCGCAGCACCAGCAGTTGAGTACAGCCTTGCCGTTAATTTCCAACGGCTGCGCCCACACCCGTATTGTAAGGACTGCAACTGAAATTCACGGCTTTGCAAAGTCCCAGGAGTGACACAAATCCCTTATAAACCCACAGGAGATTAATTGTCCCTCACCTGTGTGCTGGGCCTCAGCTCGGGGGAGAGCTGCACCGGCAAAGCCATGGGGCCACGTGCACGCGGGCTCACGGAGCGGGGGCTCTGCCTGGCCGTGGCAGGACCCCCCCAACCTCCACTCGCTCCCCACCCAGCGCAGGGACCAGCGCGTCAGATCAGCCTGACACCCTCCAACTAAACCCCTTTGCTCGGAGAAAAACACGTGCAGAGAGCTGTTGCCAGTCACTCCTTGAAAACCCACCAGCAGAAAACTGTTGCATTTTCAAATGAGAGGTGTTAAAAGGAACAATAATTTCACGTTCCATGAGCAGAGAGGGAGAAGCCGTGCCGAGCACAGCCCGCCCTGCGCGGGGACCGACAGCGGGTGGGTGGCGGGAGCGGATCCACCACCCATCACTGCCCGCTGGGAGGGGGCAGCTCGGGGCTGGGGACCGGTTCGGCCGTCCACTGCTGTGGTCCCCACAGCGGGTGAGGGAACACCTGGGGACACACGGCGAGGTGCTGGGGGCAGCCAAATCCAGGAGGGCAAGGAGGGGTAGCTGGTTAAGAGAAAAACATCCCGTTCCCAGGACTCTTGTGCTCACGCTGTGCAGGCGAGGAGCCGGTGGGGTGGCGTCCCCTGGCAGAGCCGCGTCCCTGCCCTGAGGTGACTATGCCACCGCGGCCTGGGCTGAACCCACCAAGGCACAGCCCGTCCTGCGCACCTCGCTGCAGCCACCCAGAGCACCAGGACGTCCGCCCAGGGAGCAGCATCAGCCCCCTGAGCTGCTCCGGTCTGACAGCCCCGGCAGCCAGCACCAGACACACCAGAAAAGAAAAGTGTGGTTTTGACTGGACGTTTCTAACGGGTCTCCATGTGTGTGCCTGAAGGATTAACAGTGTCCAGAGGTTTCCCGTGCTGGGCAGATGCCGGGCACCTGCATCAGGTCGTCACAGCAACCCGCTAACCATGGCCCTAAGAGCTGCAGTTCCCAGTTTGATCTCTTCTGTAGTTTCTTTTAATTACAGATGAGGGTGCCTGGAAAAGCCGGTGCTGGAGCACCCCGGGGCCCTGGGAGCACCTGGTGGCCTTGGGCAAGGGCTCGCTTGGCACCGGCCCTTGTGTCGCGGCTGGCGGCGAGACACAGGGACCTGCCCGGGCTGTAAGCCTCCACAGGCACTTTTCATTTGCCATAAAATTTGCTGTTAAACTGTCAAACTGAAGAGAGCAATGGCTTTTGGTACACTGCTATCCCCTCCCTGATTGCATCTGAGCTGCAAAAGTTATTTCACTTTCCAGAGGCTTATTTGCAACAACTCACACCCCTGGGCTACAGAAAGACCCAGCAAGTCCATGAGGACAGACGGGGCGATGCGGGATGGCTCAAACCGGGCGGCTCTGTGCGAGTGATGCTGGTTCCCGGCCGCACACAGAGATGCCCCCAGCCCACGAGGGTCCGGTGGGCCCATGGCAAGCACCAGTCAAGTTTGTGCCCTGTGCTTGCCTCCCGGCCAGGGGGCATTTCCAGGCCCCGCTCGCTCCGCAGAGTTTCCCCTGCAAGAATGAGTGGTCGTCTCCTTTGATGGGTCTGGTGTCATCATTCGTAGAGTGGTAATTGCAAAATACACCAAGGAGAAAGAAATAACTATTTGTCAGGAGGAAGGAGCACCACCTCGGGGTGCAAATACAATTCTGTTTCACCAGCCCCAACCCAACCCCAAAATGCACCCTCCCAGGCGCAGACCCAGGAAGCAGAGGGGACAGAGACCCGTGCGGTGAAGCTGGTCCCCGCGCCTCAGCCCTGTGCTCAGAAAACTGCTCTCCCGCCTCCTGCCTTTGATCAGAGGACGGGTTTCTCTGCCGGCTGCTCTCGGTGCTGTGGGTTTCCAGCGGGAGGTGGGGAAGCGCAGTCAGCCTGACCCTCCCCTCCTCGGATCTGTCATCAGCAACAGAAAAATCCTTCCCGTCCCCAAGTTACTCAGCCTGAATCCTGCAGGATTTGCCAGGGTGGCAGGATGGCAGAGCAGCCCTGCCCAGCGCCTGCCGCCAGCCCTCCCCAGCAGGGCACGGCCCCCCGCCCGGGTCCCACAGCCGGCCTCGCACCCCCGGGGTCCCAAAGCCACCCCAGGGACAAATGGAGCAAAAAAATGGATTTCCTCCTCTCGGTCATCGGATTCGCTGTCGATCTGGGCAACATCTGGCGATTCCCTTACATCTGCTACCAAAACGGAGGGGGTAAGGACACCGCTAGGATTATTTAAGTCTTCTTTTGGAGAAAAGAAATCTGGTTTTCATCTTTCTGATGCTGAAAAACTCGCTGCTGCTTTTCTTTCTTTGTCTCTAGCTGCTCCTCTCCGGAGAGGGCAGTTTGGAGATTGACCCAACTTCTCCTGACATCTGTCTCTTTTCTGTTTTGTGTCTTTCTTCATTCAAAATCCCCTTCCATTCACTCCTTCCCTGTTGTCATTCACTCCTTCCCCAGCATGGTTGGAGGTGCGTTAGCAGCTCTAGGATCACAAAGAGAAAACTAGCGTGGTCCAAACTGCATAAAAGGATTAAGAATCTGCAAATTTAGGGTGGAAGGTTTGCACCCTTTATGATCTTGTGACTTTGTGAAAGCAACCCTTTCTGATGGCTTGTGTTTTAAAATAATCCTCGCAAGCATCCCAGCTGCCTGCCGCAGATCCCGGACGTGCAGCCGGCAGTGCTGGACCCCACGGAGGAGCCCCGGCTCTCCGGGACGCGCGGCCCCGCGCTGCACAGGGCTGCAGGTGTTCGCTCCTGTGAGGGATCAACAGCAAGTTAAGATACAAAAGGTCCGTGAAGGAAAAAACCTTGAGTAAATGACAACTAAATAAATTGCTTTAAATAGAGCAGAGTAGAAAAACCCCTTGCATGGAAATTAAAAATGAGGAATGAAAATTTTGTGCTGTTTGCAAAAGCACAGTGGATTTAATTGCCAAAGTCAGCATTCGGGTAACGTCCTCTACTGCTTGGGAAAATTAGAAGGAGATAATTAGTACCATACTCAAGGCTAAAATGTGGATCCCAGGTGCCCACATCCAAGCACAGTTATTTGTGATTTACTCCTGTGGGACCGGGAGCAAACTTTAGCCACTCTTCATTGATGTGGGTCAGGCAGATGCTTTCCTTACCCGCCCCACGCACACAGGAAGGTGAGAAGTTCAAACAGCAGCTCTTGGAAAGGACAGCCATGGTCCACGCAGGGCGGGAGAGCTGATCCAGGCCAGTGCTGGGCTCACCCATCAGCTGGAGATGTTCCTAGAAGAGAAACCCTTGAGGGGTTGAGGGTGGAGCGCGTGGAGGGCTCTCGGAAAGAGGAGCCGTGGGGGTTAAATTAACTAATCCCAGCAGGGCTATTCTGACGAGCGTGGTGAGCAGCTCCAGTTCCAAAACCTCCATGGGGTACAAGTGTAGCCCTGGTACAGATGACATTGTTATGAATAATGCAGATTACAGCGCTAATTACTTGTGTCTCGGGGTGACCATGCATATTCAGTGGGATTTTCTCCAAAACTCTTCTAGACCTGAGAGGTGCGTGGTGCCCTATCCCTTGATGGTTTCTATTGCTCTTTGTACCATCCTGGCTAAACGATCTCTCCCCAGCGAAGGCTGGGACGCCAGCGGGGACCAGCACAGCAGCCCAGGAGGCTGGGGCACCGAGCAGGGTCCTCACATCCGCGAGCCCCTTCTGAACAGATAATTTGCAAAGCATCTTACAAACACACGTCCAAACCCCTCGTGCACGCTGCTCCGTGACACATCCCTGCAGCGCTGGGAGGGATGGCAGTGGCAGCCCTCCACCCGCAGCCTGCCTGTGCTCACCGGCCGGCGCGGGGCCGCGGTGGTCACTGCCGCTCTGCTCCTCACCCCGCAGGAGCCTTTCTCATCCCGTACACACTGATGGCTGTTTTCGGAGGGGTGCCCCTCTTCTACATGGAGCTGGCCCTGGGGCAGTTCCACAGGACGGGCGCCATCCCCATCTGGAAGCGCATCTGCCCCATCTTTAAAGGTAAGAGACCCCCAGCCCCAGGCCACCGCCGCGCACTCGGGGCCATGCAGTGTTGGTGAGCGGGGCCGCGCAGGTGGTGCAGGTGCCCGCAGCCACGTCCCGGTGGACAGCGAGAGGGCTGGACCGGCGCGGGCTGCTGAGTCTGCCCCTCTCTTTCCCCAGGCATCGGCTTTGCCATTTGCATCATTGGCCTGTACGTCTCCTTCTACTACAACACCATCATCACCTGGGCTCTCTACTACTTCTACTCGTCCTTCTCGGGCACCCTGCCCTGGGCGAGCTGCGACAACCCCTGGAACACGCCCGACTGCACCAACTACTTCGGGAAGAGCAACGTGACCTGGACCAACTTCTCCAGGTCCCCCGCCGAAGAGTTTTATACGTAAGTGCACATACGTGGATGATGTGTTTAAGCTGGGGCACATCCCCGTGGAGGCACTCGGGTCTGCCGCACGGGGAGCAGGACCAGGGTGCCTGGGAGCAGGCTTTCACTTGGGGATGCTCTTGGGGAGCTCACGGTCCCCATTCTCAGTGCGCTGGGAGAGAGGTGAGTGTGGGACTGCCTGCCCAGGGCTGAGCCTGCTCCCCGGCTGCCTGCAAGGGCGCAGCCAGCAGCACCATGCTGACCTGAGACACCCTCCCCGGCTGTGGGGATCCCTGCCCGCAGGAGGAAGGTCCTGGAGATCCAGAAGTCCGGGGGTCTCTACGACATGGGGGGAATCCACTGGCAGCTGCTCCTCTGCCTTTTCCTCATCTTCACCATCGTCTACTTCAGCCTGTGGAAAGGGGTGAAAACCTCCGGGAAGGTAAGAAAGAGGGCTCTGCTGCCAGCCCTGCCAGGGCATGGACGTGCCAGAGCCCTGGGCACGGGGGGGCTTGCAGCCCGGCATGCAGCATCCCCTCCATGGCCAGGGCCAGGCAGGAGGGACCAAGCAGAGCATGTGCCTGGCAGCTGGTGGGGTCTTCCTGGCTGCTTAAACATGGGATATTGCCTCCTCCCCACACCCCTACCCCTCGGCCACCCTGGGCAGCCGTAAGCCCGGCATGCAGCATCCCCTCCATGGCCAGGGCCAGGCAGGAGGGACCAAGCAGAGCATGTGCCTGGCAGCTGGTGGGGGGTCTTCCTGTGCTTAAACATGGGATATTGCCTCCTCCCCACACCCCTACCCCTTGGCCACCCTGGGCCGCTGTGAGCGAGCTGGCCGTGCCCGACACAGGTGGATTGGGCGCTTGGTGGAGCAGCTCTGCCGGCGCCAGGGGCTGATGGCTGCCTCTCTCCAGGTGGTGTGGGTGACAGCCACGCTGCCCTATGTCGTCCTCCTCATCCTGCTGGTCCGAGGGGCTACCCTGCCTGGCGCCTGGAGAGGGGTCATCTTCTACCTGCGCCCAGACTGGGGCAAGCTCCTGAGCACCACAGTGAGTGTGCAGTGGGATGCACCACCCCGGCTCCGGCTGCCCCCCGCCCTGGGAATGGCAGCACCCAGACCCCCTCCCCAGGACACACAGCCACTCCAGCTCGAGGGTCTGGCCAGAGCCGCAGTGCGATGGGGCCCTTGTTCCTACAGAAACAAGACGCCCTGGACAGGCTCTTGGAAATGTAAATCTGTAATTGAATCACCCATCTCATTGCCACTGGGTTTTGTTTGTGCTGTGTTCTCGCCCTGACCTGACAATAGGCTTCCTGTGGGTAATTACCAGGCAGCACTTGAGAATTCTCATTAAAGGTAATCAGGGTCGTGCTGCTGGGGCTGAACCTGCCGGGGCAGGAGTGGGCATGGGGGTCTCGGGGCTCCCTTCGACTCCGTCCCCCCTCCAGGCACAGGGGAGCGCAGATGCTGTTGCTTTATTCTGCTGCTGCAGGACCCAGGGTGGAAACGAGCTCCCTCCTTCCCATGGCAGCTCCCCTGCTCCTGGGATGCCTTTGCGGGAGCACGGGGCAGGGGAAGGAGCCCCAGGCAAGAGAGGAGGTTTGGCAGTATGTACCAACAAGGACCCCATCCCTATGCCGTGGGGTGGGTACGCTGTGGGGTGGGCACGCTACGGGGTAGGCATGCTATGGGGTAGGCACGCCGTGGGGCACCTCCCAGCCCCCAGGACCCCGTGCCTATTCTCCAGCCTGCCTGTTGCTTCTCCTGCCAGGTTTGGGTTGATGCTGCTGCGCAGATTTTCTTCTCCTTGGGCCCTGGATTCGGTGTCCTTCTTGCTCTCGCCAGTTACAACCATTTCCACAACAACTGCTACCGGTGAGCTCCCGCAGCCATGGGTCCCTGCGGGCACAGGGGCTGCACCCTGTGGGCATGGGGGCTGCACCAGGCACGGCTGCAGTGGAGCCGCATCCTGACAGCTCCTGCACCCCGCGGCCACAGGCTGAGCATCTTTCCCCATTTTACTGATGGTTTTGGTATGCGGGGCTGGAAGAGGGAACTGGCGGGGGTGCAGGCGACTGGGTCAGCTGAGACGGTGCGAGAGCTGTGCTGGAGGGACGTTTCTGCCGCAGGACACGTCTCCCTGCTTTCTGCTTTCCAGGGACGCGCTCATCACCAGCATGGTGAACTGCCTCACCAGCTTCCTCTCGGGCTTCATCATCTTCACCGTGCTCGGCTACATGGCTGAGATGAGGGACGTGGAGGTGGAGGATGTTGCGAGAGATAAAGGTTCGTCTCCCTCCAGCACAACTGCCCCATCCTGGCCCCGCGGTGCCCAGGTGCCCCAGGGCTCTGTGTGCCCATCGTGGCCGAGGGGGGCCAGGGTGATGGCTGGCCCTGGGGTCTGCCAGGGTGTGGGGGCTTGTGCCCGGGAGCCGTTCCCAGGAGCGGAGGACAGAGAGGTGTCTGGCCCTTGTCTCTCAGCCAGGGCCAGGCACGGCCGCTCTGGCTTTGGGGCATCTTCCCCAAGCGCATTCCCACCGGCACCCAGGGCTGTGCCAGAGCAGCCGGTGAACAGCAAACCAAACCGGTGTCCCCTCCCAGGGCCAAGCCTCCTTTTTATCACCTACCCTGAAGCAATCGCCAACATGGTGGGATCCACCTTCTTTGCCATCATATTCTTCCTGATGATGATAACGCTGGGGCTGGACAGCACGGTAGGCACCTCTGTGGAGTGCGACAGCACAGCCATGCAGCCTGGAGCCGTGTCCCCAGTGGGGTCTGGGGATGGCCGTGTCCCATGGCTAATAGCGGGGTGACAAGGGGAGCTATGGCCTCGGGAAGGAGAGCTGCCTGCCTGAGCCCTCCGAGCATGGCCAGAGCGGGGATGGAGGGAGGGGACGGGATGGGATGTCCCCCCTCTGCTCACAGGCAGAGGGGGCCGTGAGCAGAGCAGATTTTTCTCGGGGAGCAGGACTGTCCCCACGTCTCATTTCTCCACCCCACGCCGGTGTTTCCTTTGCAGTTTGGGGGCTTGGAGGCCGTGATCACGGCTGTGATGGACGAGTACCCCCAGGTCCTGGCCGGGCGACGGGAGCTCTTCGTCCTCGGCCTCATCACAGTCTGTTTCCTGGGCTCCCTGAGCACTCTCACCTACGTGAGTACCGGGCACCGCTCCGCTCCCGTCCCCGCCACACACCTACTCGTCTCTCCAACAACCCCTGGTGCGGGACATTGCCAAAGACCTACTCCGCACCCCTGCAGCTGCCCTCCCCTCCCTTGTGCTGTTCCAGGGGGGAGCCTACGTGGTGAAACTGCTGGAGGAATTTGGTGCCGGCTGCTCAATCCTGGCGGTGGTGTTACTGGAAACAATAGCTGTCTCCGGTTTTTACGGAAAGAAACTGCCTCTGTTATGAAAAACATCCTGCAGGCACCTACATGGGTATTTAACCGTGTTACTGGAAACAATAGCTGTCTCCTGGTTTTACGGTAAGAAACTGCCTCTGTTATGAAAAACATCCTGCAGGCACCTACATGGGTATTTAACCTTATGCAGGTGAGTAAATGCCAGGGGGTTTGGGGGCAGAAGCACGTGCGTGACTCCTGGCGAGGCTGGGATGGGGCACGGAGGGCATCGTGTCCGTGTCCCTGTACCCACGTCTTCTGCGGGTCTCCGGGGCTGTGATGGCTCTCTCCTCCGGCAGGGATACAGAGGTTCTCCCACGATGTGAAAGCCATGCTGGGCTTCACCCCAGGCATGTTCTGGAAGGTGTGCTGGGTCGCCATCAGCCCTGCCTTGTTAGCAGTGAGTATCTATGGCCCGAATTAAAGACCAGGTTGTCAACCCCGCTCTGAATGCCCTGCAGGGGAGCTGCTCTTCCCCTCCATGGCTGCTGCTGCTGCTGCCCAGCTCCCCGGGTGCCTGCACCGCTGGCTCCCCTCTCGCTTGCACGGGGTGAACAAGCTGTTGGGAGGGTGCACTGGGGTCCTGGCTGGGGCTGTAGGACATCATGCCAGCCCTCCCTGCCGGCTCCCCACGCTGCTGCTCCAGCCACGGGCAACGACAAGCTGTCCGCAACCCCTGGGACAGCGGGTTTCAATGAGAAAGGGAGCTGGAAGTGCATTTTCCAGCCTCTTCTGGAGCTGTGCTCCAGTACAAAGCTGGCAGCTGGCAGCTGGGTGCTCACACGGGCGTGAGTGCAGCCCCATTTCACCCTCCTGGTCCGCAGCATCCCACGCTCACACTGGCACGGCCAGCCGTGGCTGCATCTCTGATGGCACTGCGGCGCTGTGCACTGGGCCGGATCCGTCCCCTTTGAAATGCCAGCTCCCCCGGCACTTCAAAGGCTGCCATCTGCGAGAGACAGAGGGGTCTAATCTCACTGGATCTGCAGGAGAAGAGGCCTTGTGAGGATTAATTACGGCTCCAAGCGCTTTGCCCAGGTTATTAAGGGAGAAGTATTATAATCAAAGCAGACAGCAAATGATTTCATTTCAGCACGGGGACGTGCAGCCTTTGCAGGCCACCGTCTCTGTGGGGTTTGTTAGATGAAGACCTCCCAGCCCATACCTAGCAAGGGGTGGCAGTCTGGGAAATGTCACTGCAACGTCCATGTTGGCCTTTCACGGTTAGGAAAGCAGGGGTGGCAGTGGGATGCGGATATAGGGATAACTTATGGGATGAGCCGGCGCCAGTGCCGGGGCTGGGGAGATGTCGCAGCTGATCTGCTCTCTGTGGGGAGCCAACGGGGCTGGTCTGCCAGAGATGCCCGGCCATCACAAAAGAGCTTTTCTGGCCCCGTGTCGTGTGCACGTGGGTTTTGCGGGCTGTACAGCCCTGCTGCAGCCCTGTGCCTGCTTGTGACTGGCAGTGGAGCGTGTCCTGCCGCGGTCCGGCCCCATGAGCGTCCTTCCCTAACGTGCTCCGCTTCGTTACAGTTCATAGTCGTCAGCTCCCTCCTGGACCAGCCGCCTCTGACACTCTTTGACTATCAGTACCCGGAGTGGAGCATCTCAGTGGGGTACCTCATAGGAGCATCGTCCTTCATCTGCATCCCCTTCTACATGGTGTACAAGCTCGTCTGGACGCCAGGGTCTCTCAAGCAGGTCAGGAGTGGGGCAGGCAATCCTGCGGCCCCTGCACAGGCTGGGGGTGGGCAGGGACCCCCGCTTGGGTCAGCGCAAGACCAGGGCTCCTCAGCATCTTTGTTCATGTGGCAATTAAATCACACCTGGACAGCTGCTTGGAACAGGGCTCAGAAGAGCATGGCTCGATGGCCTGATCTTTTTAAGTCATATTTCTGAAGCTGTGATTTTGGCTGGGCCAGGAGACAGCGGGACTACATCAGCATGGCCCTGGAGGCAGGAGACCCATCCCCAACTGTCACCCCTCCTCTCGGCCCACTTTTGGGACACCTCCTGCCCGCTGTGGTCTGCTGCAGGCTGACACAGCCCCAGCCCTGCAGCGAGCGAGATTCTGGTGGGGACGGCTTTGGCACGCCAGGGCAGGCAGCCCTGCCTGTGGCACCAGGCCCTGGTGTGGGAAGGAAGCCCATTGCCTTTTTTCTCTGCCTGCTTACACCCTCCAGCGCCTCGCCATCTGCATTCGGCCGGAGAAAACAACGCGAGACCCCCAAGCAGAGGCGGTGTGCATGTCACCTGTCCTGTAGCCTGGCGGCACGTCCAGGGGATGCAGAGACTGCTTCGGCTTCCTGCTCCTGCCCCAACAAAGCAATGGGGCAGGCAGAAGAGAAGCTGCCATCACCTTCTTCACAGCAACCTGCCCCTCGTGTCTCCCCCGGCAGCTGCACGTGCTGGCGGCAGCTCCCCGGCTGCCCCCTCCCCGCCCACCCCGGCAACCCGGGAG